TCTCTGAGAGCAGCTCGGAAGAGAGGGGCGGGGTCAGCAGAGCTCATTAACATTTAAAGGGAAATGCTACAAAAACGGCTTGATCTGAAAGAGCTGTTTTTGACAGGGTAAAAAGGTGTTTTTTACACTACCATTGAGAAATTTTAACCAAACTATGTTACAGACGTTTCATTAAGACCCTAAAGAATCATATCAACTTGTGGAAAATGGGCATCATATGACCCCTTTAAACTATTTATATGCGAAGGCGATTCATATATTTTACCTCCACAAACTTTAAAAAAAATTATTAATATTTAAAAACTTTAAAACGTATATTACAGTATTTAATGGTACTTGGTTTGGTTGAAGTTTATGGGTTATTTGAGTTGTAGTTTAGCTGAAATGACGCTGTCAGGGTCGTAACAGTGTGACTAATCAGTTTCCTGGAGGTTTTACATTCTGAAGGCTAAAGAATTATAAAATCACGGAGAGGCTTTAAATGAAGACTTTCTTCTCTTCAACACCAGAGGCTTGAAAAGCTGATGCATTCGTCTTGACGCTGCTGGAAATGCAAACTAAATCCTCTCACATCCAGCTAAAGTTAGCCGCTGGTCTCTTCTGAAAGCTCAGAGCTAATGACAGATATCTGCTCTTCAAGCCAAACTTCTCCTGAAGACTCACACGTGTTCACGCTTTATTTGAAGCAATGCTTTCACATTGTGCCAGTGTTTCAGGTGCTAGAGATGTTAAGTCAGATTTTTTTTTTACTGCAATAACACTGTTTTATATTATAAATACCTCACCTCTTGTTGTTCTTTGTAGATCACATTTTAATAATATTTAATAATAATTTTTTTCTATTTTTAAAATGCACATAGATTTATTATTTAATAATATATTATATTTATATTTTAAATATTCTCCTTTTGTAATTATATATTTAAAGTACTTTGAGCTGAAATCATTTTTAATATTTACTTGCTTTAATTTATTATAAATTACATTTTCTGCTTTTGTATTTCTGTGTGATTGCATTTTAATAATAGTTTATTTTATTTTTCTGTTTTTAAAATATACAACTTTTTATAGCATACAAATATAATATGTAAATATATCTAGTTTGATGCTTTTAAAGCACTTTTAGCTGAAATAATTTTTATTTATTTATTCTAAATTACATTTTCTTTTGCAGTTCTATGTAGATGTTGTAATTATTTAAAAAAAAAATTAATTAAATATAATATTTAAATTAAATTATTATATCTAAAAATATATTTTAAATATATAACATACAATTTTAGATATAAAAAAATATATATTTGAAAAATGTAAAAAGTTGTCTAATTGCAGAAATGCATGAACTGAGCTAAACTCTGCGCTTCAGTTTCGAAAGCAGCTCCGACACGCGCAGCGTGAAGCGTGAAGCGCTCCGGTGATTTTAACGGGGCAGTTCCAGCGGAGTCGCGTCGCGTCGCGCGGCCGGTGCGTCTTTGACGCGCGTGTGTTGCGAGAGATTGTGCAAACGCGGCTCTTCCCTGGGAGGAGCCTGAACTGAAGCGATCTGTTGTGAACGTAAATCTGCGCGTTTGTTTCCGTTCACGTGGAGAAACACGGAAACGTTGATCGCGCGCCGAACCGTCACAAACCCCGCGTTTGATCAGGACACTAACAGACGCGGAGCGACGCAAGCCGGTGGGTGTCTCTCTTCTTTCATTCGTGCTGTTTTGTGAGCGTTATAGACATGTGTATAAACACGCGTGTTGACCCGCGGTTATCGATCACTTCCTCTCCTCCGCGTCGCTGACAGAAGTCCCGAAAGTACCACGGTACTGCCAGCGT